GAGATATATAGAGAGAGTATAGAGAGATATATAGAGAGAGTATAGAGAGATATATAGAGAGAGTATAGAGAGATATATAGAGAGAGTATAGAGAGCTATATAGAGAGAGTATAGAGAGATATATAGAGAGAGTATAGAGAGCTATATAGAGAGAGTATAGAGAGATATATAGAGAGAGTATAGCGAGATCCGGTCTACGATAAAAAGTTAATGTTAAGACTATATAATAACTGCTGAATTAGTTTCCTACTAAAAACTTACACCTTATAGGGCAAATAATAGCAACCTCATAGGGCACATTACAGGGCCTGTTTAATAGGACCCGAGGATCGCAGGTGAGGCAAGGTTTGCGAGATATAATATACGGAGCGCAGCTTCGTAAGTTATTAGAAGTTTCTCACACGCAGTGAAAAAAAAGAAAAAAAAGTTCTTATTGAGACTAATTTTAAGACTCAAACACGAGGCTGCATACTGTTACATACTGAAATTCCAATTTATAAGGCAACAGGGCTACCTCATAATAGCCCGTTATAGGCACATTACAGGCACCTTATAGGCACAGCATAGGGCACATTATAGGGCATATTATAGGCACACTATAGGCACATTATAGGCACACTATAGGCACATTATAGGCACACTATAGGCACATAATAGGCACATTATAGGCACACTATAGGCACATTATAGGCTCATTATAGGCACCTTATAGAGCACATTACAAGACCCTGATTAATAGGGCCCCAGGATCGCATGGCGAGGCGAGATTAGCGAGATATATATTCGTAGCGCGGCTTACTCATGCACAACAGCAGGCTTCTCACGTGATCCACCCCGTCAAACAGCTGCCAGTTGATGAGCGAGCAGGCTTCACCCTCGTGCTTCCTCCAGCATCTCTCCGCATCATCCCCCAACTCCTGCGAATGTATAATTTATCAATATATTTTTGTAATTACAGCGGAACCCCGATTTTACGCACCCCAATTTAACGTGAATTCGGATATAACGCGATGAGTCGTTGGACCCGTTTTTTTGCTCGTATAGCCACGTATATATATAACCCTGATTTAGTGCAACCCCGCTTTTTTTGCGATGACATTTTATGGACCCCAACCATCGCGTTATATTGGGGCTACACTGTATATATATATATATATAACGATTATTATATTATAAAAAATATATTATCGTAGTAGCTTGACAGTGAAAATGAATCTTCATGCAGAAAAAAAAGTCCCGGTGACGAAAACGGACGAGGCACACAAACCGTGCACACGTACCCCGCGTTACAACACGAGAGAACGAAAAGAAAACGTTCTATTTTTTTATTCGCTCCCGATCACATCGTCACCTAAAGAAATTTTCCTGTCGTGTTTTACTACCAATGCCCAGCCTGCAATCCGTGTAAGATTGTGAGATAATTTGTCAATGCTACCGCAAACATATCTATACAAGTTTCAATATACATGTACACGACAATACTGTGTCTAGAACATGGTTCATACAGAAGGACTGAAATTTTTTCCAAGGACTTTTCAAGGACATTTCATCGGAAATTCAAGGACATTTTATCCGACATTTTATCGGAATTCATACACAGAACAAAACATACTGTAATTTGTGATCATCATTTAACTGTCTATTGTGTCTATAGCTTTTTAAGCTCATTTAACGCAATTTGTATTGAGGTTTGCACATTATTGATGGTACAAAATTTCTTTTTATTAGAGGCAAGGATTCTTTCTAAAAATTCTGACATTTTCATGTAATTCAAGGACATTTTCTTGAAATTCAAGTATTTTTCAAAGACTCCCCTCAAATTCAAGGAATTTTCAAGGACTGTGCGAACCATGTAGAAGGTTGATGGTTGCAATTATGTTAACCTCCTAGATCTTTTATTCGAAAAGCTATCAAATCCTCACTAGCCTAACCTTCGTTCACAAGCCTTTCACGCTCTAGCATAACTCAGGGTTCATAGTAGTAAGACACATGTTAAAATAATGACTTATAAGACCTTTTCTGGAGGCCAAAATAAGACTTTTTTACGCGATTTTTGATAGATCACCAACTATTAAAGTACACTAATAATATTTATATACACAATTGCACAGCCGTTTCGCCGAAATTCAAAACAGAAAATGTTGAAAAATGGTCCTTTGGCAAAAAATAAGGACTATTAAGTACTTTTCTAAGATTTCACAAAAAATAAGTACTAATAAGGGCCCTTATTTTATTTTTGGCCAAATAAGTACTTATAAGACTTTGGAAGACCCGCTACAAACCCTGTAACTAACTACTACTACTACGCCAGTGCGACAAACAAAGAGAATAAGATGAGGATGAGGAAGAGGAAGATGGTGACCATTGTCGTGGCAACACAAACTTCGCGAGTGAACGCCGACGAGAAAGGAGAAGGAGGATGAGAAAGAGGACGACCGTTGTCACGGCAACACAAACTTCACGAGAAAAAAACCGGCAAGAGAAGAGAAGAACGAGAACGAGGAAGAAGAATACGACCGTAGTCATGACAACAACACAAACATATCGCTCCGCACCTCGCCCGTTGCCGCGGTGACCGCCAGCAGACGATCGTCGATCCCCCGCCTCCTGTTGAGGTAGAAGTCGTCTGAGCGCAGGTCGAGGGGGTGGGGCTGGTGGGGTCCGCGGAAGGCGTCGGCAACCCCGTCCACGTACAGGACGTCCCACAGCAGCAGCGCGAGGAGAGAGGTGAACGCTAAGCCTTCTCCGTGCACGCCTGCAACGAGAGAGAGACACGTGTGTTGTACTGTGGGCTGTCACACGCGACACTGTACAGTGAGAGCTGTACGTAAGAGTATATATATATATATATATATATATATATATATATATATATATATATATATATATATATATATATATATATATAACTTGACACCTATTTCTATTTTTTTACATTCATAATTTTCTATATATCTTCACATACGCCCTGAATATTTACTCCTGATAGTAAATAAAAACTTTGTTTAAGTCTACAATTATATATATCACACTATATATATACAATTATACAATAGGCATATAATACGTAAACACAATACGTACATACAAATCATACACATACAATACAATACATATACAATACATACATACACACATAATACATACATACACATGCAATACATACATACACATACAATACATATACAATACAATACATACAATACATACACATACAATACATACATACACATACAATACATACATACACATACAATACATACACACACAATACATACGTAATACGTGTGAAACCCCCTCTATAGTTGTCAGCGCACCTTCCGTGTATCCCAGCTCTCTGTAGCGCATTATACACAGGTCCTCAACCCCCAACATCACCATGTCATGGCCGCCGTTGTCGTCGCCGTCGCCACGGTGATGCTGCGGCGTGATGAAGCTTGACTTTCCGCCGGACGCCGTGGTCGTACGGAACAGCGTGCCTTGAAACACCCGCTACGTCGATACGGGAAACGATCGAGACGCAAGACGGTGAAGTGAGCGCGTACACGCGTTACATTAAATGACGTGTACTGAAACACATGGCAATATGTATATGAAACGACGCGTTGGCAAGAAACGTGGAATTTTATAAAATGACGTACAAGAGAAGTATAATAAAGTATAAAAATAAGTATAATAAAAGGGAAGAAGTAAGGGGAACTGCAAGTGTCAATTAGTGACCTTGGCACGATACATGGCATTATATGGAATAACGTATATTGGCACATATGGCCATTATATGATATAAAATATATTGGCAATATATTAAATGATGTCGATTGGCATGACACTTAGCATTATGTGAAATGACGAATAAGGAATATATTCCCTTAAAAATAAGGGAAGAATAAAAAATAACTGCGATTCAAGTGTAATCTCACGACCTCAGACAACTGAGAAGCTATAATGCCGATAATTCGGCGGTACCTTGGGCGGTTCCTGACACGGCACAGGCGTCACTTCCTCCATCCGATGCTCCAGTTTCTTGTTTCGCAAAGACTTGCAAATCTTGACGGCGCGCAAGTACAGCGAGAGCCTGTGTCCCGTGCGTACGTCTGGATCACGCATTCCCTCAATGACAGCATCTAGCGCCTAGAATCATCACACGAGTAATTGAGCGAAGAGCGAGTTTCGCTGAAGTCGATTTTAACGGGACGATTTTAACCAATATTAACTACATGTAGTATATTAGTATATATATGTATTATGTAGTATGTATGCACTATGTAGCATAGAGTTA